CCTAAGCAAAAAGAAAAAAAAAAAAAAGCTGAAGCAATCATATTGCCTGACTTCAAATTATACTATAGAGGTTCAGTAACCAAAATAGCAGGATACTGGCATAAAAAAAGACACAGACATCAGTGGAACAGAATAGAGAACCCAGAAACAAATGCACACACCTACAGTGTACTCATTTTTAACAAAGGCACCAAGGACATACACTGGAGAAAAGACAGTCACTTCAATAAGTGGTGCTGGGTAAATTGGATATATGCAGAAGGAAACTGGACCCCTATCTCTCACCATATACAAACATCAAATTAAAATAGATTAAAAAGTTAAACCTAAGACCTCAACTATGAAACTACTACAAGAAAACATTGGGGGAAAATCTCCAGGACATTGATCTGGGCAGAGAATTTTTGAGCATTTTACATAACCATAGGCAGCCAAAGCAAATGGACAAATGAGATCATAAGTTGAAAAGCTACTGCACAGCAAAGGATACTATCAACAACGTGGAGAGACAGCCCACAGAATGGGAGAAAACAGTTGCAAATGACTCCTTTGATAAGGGATCAATAATCAGAATATATAAGGAGCTGAAACAACTCTACAGAAAAAAATCTAATAATCTGGTCAAAAAATGGGCAAAAGATTTGCATAGACATTGCTCAAAAAAAAAAAAAAAAGAAAAAGAACCTACAAATGGCAAACAGCTATATGAAAAGGTGCTCAACTGCATTGATCTTCAAAGAAGTGCAAATTAAAGCTACAATGAGATAGAAGGAGGGTTACCAGAGGCTGGGAAGGGTAGCAGGAGGCTGTGGGAGAGGCAAAGATGGTTAATGGGTACCAAAAAAAATAAATAAATAAATAAAATAGAAAGAATGAGTAAGACCTACTGTTTGATAGTACAGGAGGGTGACTATAGTTAATAATTACTTAATTGCAAATTATAAAATAACTTAAAATTGTGATTGAATTGTTTCTAACTCAACAATAAAATTAAATTAAAGAACATGGCGGAGGGCAAAAAAAAATTTAAATACAAAAAATAAAAATAATGCCATGAAATAAGTAAACTGGATATTCACATAATGAAATGGCTACTTTTGAAAAGGGTTTAATTTTTACATAACTATAAAAGGTAGCCTCCCACTACCCTTCCCAGCCTCTGGTAACCCTCCTTGTGCTCTCTCTGTTCTTGAATTGTGTTGTTTTGGTTTTTAGATCCCACAAACAAATGAGAATATGCCATGCTTGTGTTTCTGTGCCTGAATAGTTTAGAATAGCTCTATGAGAAAACCTCAGATTTTTCCAAAATAATAGAGTTAAATTTAAGATTTTTTTAAAAATTGTCTCTTTTCTAGTTTCTTTAATAATTTTTTAAAAAAATATATTTAAGAAATTTTAGACCAGGCATGGTGGCTCATACCTGTAATCCCAGCACTTTGGGAGGCCAAGGCAGGCGGATCACTTGAGCCCAGACATGCAAACCAGCCTGGCCAACATCAGGAAACCCCATCTCTACTAAACATACAAAAATTAGCTAGGTGTGGTGGTGGGCACCTGTAATCCCAGCTTCTTGAGAGGCTGAGTCAGAATCACTTAAGCCTGGGAAATGGAGGTTGCAGTGAGCTGAGATGGCACCACTGAACTCCAGCCTGGGTGACAGAGCAACACTCCATCTGAAAACAAAAACAAAAACAAAAACAAACAAAAAAAGAGAAATTTTGAACAAGATACAGAAGACTCCAAAAGGGCAAGCAATATGGCATATAATTCAGAACAGGGTCTTCGAAATACAGGTCCTGATTTGGTCATTGCAGGCCATGTTTCTTTGATAAAACACCTTTGCTCAATTACTTGCATAGTAAAAAGGGGACAGTAAGGGTGCCTAGTTTCTAATGTAGCAGAGAGGGTTGCATCAGAATGTCTTCAATAAGTTTAGCACATTGCCTGTCACAAAGTGATATTAATGGTTATGTTCATAATGCCATTAACATATTAAGAATCAATTTATTTTAACAAATAAGGTTGTGGCTTTAGTTTTTAATTGAAATAGATAATTTAAGCACGTTCTCTTAATTGTTTTGTAAAATTTATCGTGTCTTTCCATATGCCAAGTTGTTAACAATTCTATTTTCTTAATCTCTCAAAGTTGCCACATTTCAATAGAAATAACTGTTAAAAACGTGATTTTTCCCTCTACTTGTATCTGAACATCATTTAATCCAAAAGCTAAAGAAAGGAAAAATTGGGAGATAATGGTTTCACTGTTCACAGACTAGCTTTCCCACTGGCTCTGTGACCTCAAAACAAATTAGTTTACTCCTCTGTGCCTCTGGGCCAATGAAGAAGGTTTCAGCTGCCAACTAGAGAAGAAACTCCTGAGAATGCCTTTAGCAATAGCACAGCGGAGGCAGATTAGCTCCAGGGCTGGTTAATTCAGTGTCCCAAGGACAATATCTAAGATCTAAGGCTTCTTCCCGACTGTGTTTCCTGCATTCCTCCGTATTTGTTTTCTTCATGAACTCATGTTGGCTCTGCAGGACTAGGCATTACCCATACACGTAACTCTAGTAGAAACAGGAATGAGCATGTCTTTTCTTTTGTATCCTTCATAAGACTGAGAATCTCCTTCCTACAACTCTCCACTTCAGGATCTCCCTGACATGCCACTATTCAGAACTGGGTCACGTGTCACCGCAGCCACTGCCAAGAGTAGTGAGATTGCTTTGCTTGGTTAGAGTGGTTAGATTAATCAGGATTTATCTCTTAGGTGGAGAGGGTTTCTTCTCTGTAAGTTGGATAGTTTAACAAAATTTACTACAGGATTGAAAGGACTTGGGTAACAGTGTACAGTATCTGCCAAAGCCTTAATTTTTTTAGCCTATAGAATAGGACAAAGTTCAGTTTTATCTAGGTCACAGAATTTTTAAAGGATAAATGATATAATGTCAGCTTGTGCAGATATAAGCAAGCCTATGACTCTCAAATGAACAGCAGTGCTTTCACGATAAGTATAAGGATCCTTGGCCAGTTATGTATAAATGCAACCCTGATTTCTCCTTTACCTCCTTTCCCACTGTTCACCCATGGCTTTCAGCATTCATTTTTTTCTACATTGATCCCCATTCCAAATTCATATGACGATAAAAGGTACAAACTAGATAACTTCCAGTCTTCTTACTGTCTTAACAAGTTTGCAGGGAGCCATTAATAATGTAGAGCAAAATGCAATCCAGGTGTGTATACTACCAAGCCATAAATTACAAAGGTAGCTCTACAAAAGGCAACTTCATTCCATGTTGTAAAACTATCTTGTATTCCTTCTGTGTAAGTGCGCACGGGGAGAACTCAAAGGGTTTATGGCTTAGGATGCATGCTCTCTTAACAGACACTGTTCTTGTCCCTTGTTGTGACCATTCTGAGTTGTTTTATGCAAATGTGACCCACTAAGAAGGATTGATTTGTGCTCAGGCCTCAGACAATGCCCACTTTCTTATGCCCTGGGATTTGTTTCGTAGCTGCCCCGGCCCTGCGGTTGAGGTTTCTCACCAATTCGATTCTAATACATGAACACTTTCCTTTGAGTCTCTCTGTCTGATTTCTCTTTGCATTTACCTGCTCCCATCAATGCAAAACACTGAACGGTTCAGATTGATTTTCCTTCTCAAAACATGAAAGGTCTGTTTTTCAAACTTCAGTGTTTTCTAAGGAAATATCTCTGATCAATATGTGTAAGAATTAAGGGAAAACAGCAGACTCCTTCTTCTGATTGTTAGTAACTCAAAGCAACTTGTTTACCTGTTTGGATTCTTCCCAGCAGAAAACGTTAACAATTGCAATTATCACCATTATGCAGTATGTTCAATTGTACAATCAATGTAATTGCCAAATGGAAATTATACAATAAATATAATTGCTGCTTTACTCCTGTGCGGTATTTCAGTGGCATTTCGCATTTATTTTGTCCTTTAATTAGTAACAGGTATAATTACAGCGCTACACTCAGAGCTGAAACTGAGTAATTTGTGGGAGTGAGCATAGTGTACAGATATTGAAAGGGGGCTGCTGTGACTCATTCTTTGCTGGAATTGTCTAAATACATCCACCTATTGTCTAAAACCCACCTAATGGCCCCAAATTGAGCTGACCTGTGGACACATTTGATGTAAACTCCAGGTAAAAAATTCCCTGCAGTTCATGAAATAGATGACTTTGCCATCCTTCTGCTTGACTTCCTGCATCCCATTGTACCTATTATTTGTCAATCTGGATGAATTTGTTCATTCATTAATTTAATCAGTATTTATTGAGCACTGATTATTTGCCAGGTATTATTTTGGAGATATGTTGTGAACAAGAGAGGCATGAAGCTTAAATTCTAGGGGAAAAATACGGAGACCACATAAGAAGCCAATCAAGTGATAGGAAGTTGAAGGTGATTTGTGCTAAAACATGCTAAGAAGAAAAAGTTACTGTGATGTCATAATATCTTTTGATTGCATGGTCAGGGAGAACAACTTTCCAAGACACGATATTTAGCTTGAGATAACAATGATGCAGGTTGTTCAAAGGGGGATGGAAGAAGGAGAGAAGAGAGAAAGAGAGAGAGAGAAAGTGAGAGAGAGAGTCTGTGAGGTGCACTGGAAGAGGTAGAGAGAGAAGGGCTTAAATTTAGAGGTCTCCACAAGATAACAAGGAATTTGATAATTATTATAAATGTTATGGGAAACCAGTGGAGAGTTTGGTGCATGACAGTGACATAACTTGATTTCCATTTTCTTTTCTTTTTATTTTTTAGACGGAGTCTCACTTTGTCACCCAGGCTGGAGTACAGTGGCACGATCTTTGCTCACTGCAACCTCCGTCTCCAGGGTTCAAGTGATTCTCCTGCCTCAGCCTCCTGAGTAGCTGGGATTCCAGGTGTGCACCACCACGCTCAGTTAATTTTCGTATTTTTAGTACAGACCGGGTTTTGCCATGTTGGCAAGGCTGGTCTTGAACTCCTGACCTCAAGTGATCCGCACGCCTCAACGTTGCAAAGTGCTGGGATTACAGATGTGAGCCATTGTGGCAGGCCTTGATTTCCATTTTATACAAAGTCTATTTTGGTTCTCGTATAAAAACTGATTGTAGAGGAACAAGAAAGGAAAGAAAGCAGATAGGGAGAAAATTGCTACAGTCTGGGTAGAAGTTTCTGGCTGCTTGACTTAGGATGGTTCTGGTTAAAAGAACCATCATAGGAGATGAAAAGAAATAGAGTGATTAGAAGAACATTGGAAGTGGATGGCCATTGACTGTTGACAGAATTGATGTGAACAGTGAGATGAAGAATTAAATTCCCAATGGTACTAGGCTTTTGGTTTGGAAGTTCCTGGAAGTCTTTAAAAAAGAACAGTCTTATTAATAAGAAAACAAAGCTTGTTCCATTTGAAATGCTGTTAGACATCCAGGTAGACTATTGGATAAATATCCTAAAGGGGAGTAGTCAAATGACATACGCATCAGGAACAGAAGACAGAAGAGATCTCAGCATTGAGCTGTGACTTTTCGCAACATTTAGAGGTTCCACAGTAAGGAAGACTCAGCAAAGAAAACTGAATAATAGCAACTAGTGAGACTGAAGGAAAACTGGGAACCATTCCATCCAAGAGAACCTGTATCAAGAAGAGAAACATTAACGATGTGAAATTTTGCTGAGAGACTAAGATTAAAGCAAAGCTGTGTGGTCTCTGCATTTGGCAATGTGGAGGCTGCCATTGACCTTGTCAGAACAGCTTTAGTGGAGTTTCTAGGCTACATATATGATATGTGCGGGTTGAAAAAAAAAGTGAGGTGAGGAAATGAAGACAGCATGCGCAGATGATTTTTGGAGTGCTATGACAAAGAACAAGAAGCCCAGTTGTAGGTGGAGAGGCACATGGGTCAAAGAGAGGCTGTTTGATATTTCTGTATGCAAGTAAGTGAGAAAAGTGAGAAGGAGATGTTGCAGGGTGGGAGGAGGAGTGTTTTGAGAACAAAGTCCTTGAGTAGATGAGACATAGAATGCAGAGTATAAGTGAAGAGGGTGCCTCAGATGGGAACAGAGGCTTGTCTTCCTCTGTGATGGGAAAGAAGGCGAGAGTGTAGGCATGGATTCAGGAAGGTCAGTATGTGATAGTGGGAGGACTGTTGCTGCCTCCCCGTAGTTCGTGATCTAAAGGAGAGAGACACATCGTACACAGCTCACTACATGAGTCAGACAGCGGTCTGGGCAGACAGCAACAACTGCTGTGAGAGGGCACTGGTGGGAGGAATCTGCCTACCAAAGTTTTACAGTGCAGGTGGCATCTGACTTTTGTGTTGATTAATACATATTATTATGCTGTTATTTGACTTATACATCAACAGGTATAAGGGAATTTCCTCTAGAAGGCCCCCTGTGAAAGATATTGTATCAAGAAAGACACACAGGTTAATTTCTTGTTCTTAGTAAAGTTACTCTTCCCCAGATCCCTCTCAGGCATCAGTGCCTTTTCAAAGCCCCGTTCTCCTTTGAAAACTTCCTCTCTTCCTTTCCTTGGCTATTTTTTAATTATCTTGCAAGTCTAAGTTGAAGTGTTCCTCTCCTAAAAAACCTTCCCAAAGCCTACCCCACAAAACCCTTATCAATTTGAATTAGATCCTTCCTAGTTGTAGGTAGAGCAAAATAGTGGCTTCTATTTTTTTTTTTTTTTGATGCATTGGCATGACTGTTGGCTTTATCCACGTGATAGAACAAGAAGCGTCCATGGTGGTAGCCACTCTAGAGCTCAGGAGGCAAAATGATATTCTGAGACCCAGAGGGCTAGAATGAAGGCTTCCAGAAGAGAACTGTGCTTGCAGTCTTGGAAAAAATTATTGCTCATGTCTCCATGGACACGTGCAGCTGAATCTAGCTTTTCACTTTACTTTGGTTGAAGACCATTTTGATGTGTATCATGAAATAAACATACAAATAATGAAAATCATAAACAAAACTCTCAGTATATGGGTCAGAAATCCTACTCAGTTTCAAAGTATAAGTCATTTTAGGTGGGACTCAAGTAGTATCAGCACCATTTCCACAGCCCAGGGATGAACTTTATTGTGGTCCTTGTTAGGAAAGTTCAATCAAACAAGCCCCCTGCCCCTGGCCCCTGCCATATCTCTATAAAACAGTCATATGCTATGGAAAAGGCTTTAGCTCTTAGTCTGAATATAGTGGCAGGATAATATCACCTGCACCACAGATACCCATGCTCCAACTCCCACAACATGTGAGTATGTTATGTGACATGTCAAGAGAGAATTAAGTTTGTGGATGGAATTAAGGTTGCTAATCAGTTGACACTGAATTAGGAAGATTACCCTGCACTACCTGGGTAAAACTAATGTAATTACAAGGGCTCTTATAAGAAAACAGGAGAGGCAAGAGAGTCAGTGTCAGAGAGACACAGCATGAAAAGGACTCGACTGGGCATTTCTGGTTCTAAAGACAGAAGGTGGCCACAGATGAAGGAGCATAGGTTAGAAAAGGCAAGAAGTTGGATACGTCCCCTATAGTCTCCAAAAGGAGTACAGCTTTGCTGATATTTTCATTTTAGTCCAATGACACTAGTTTCAGATGCCTGACCTGCAGGATGGTAAGATTATAAATTTGTGCTGTTTTAAGTCATAAATTTTGCAAACATTTGTTGCAGCAGCAATAGGAAACTAATATCCAGTGTGATGTACCTCTGTGCCTGAATCTGAAACTCCATCTAAAACCTGTGCATACTCACAGTGTATAAATTGGTGACAAGATGACAACATGGGGGGATTCATAAGCAAAGTGCTGTGCCTGAGAACGGTGCCCTTTCAGTAAGGGGATACTGAATACTTGTCAGTTTTTAAACAGAACCCGGCAGAGTTTCAGTTTCCTCAGCTTGACATTTGGGGTAGTAACACATTTCTACTTTACAGGGAGATGTAAGTAAGATAATGTGCTATGAATGGTTTTGTAAACATTTATAAATTTCCTCGTAAGATCTCTGCGATGATTCTGATAACCTTATGCAACGCTAGAAAGTATACTGGCCTGAGAGACTCAAGAGCTGGGTTCAGATCTCACTTTCAATGCCTGTGGCTTTACACAACCCAATTTATGAAGACTATTTTCTCATGGCTAAAAATATTTAGTAATCTATGCTGAAAGGTAGCAATAAAAGTAAATTTTTTGTACTGTGTGTGCAAATAATTATTAATAAAATATGTTAACATAATTATTTCTCACTTTTGGTCAATAAAACAGTATCTGCAATTCCAGCTCTCAGTGTACAAGGTCTCTACATGAGCTACAGTGAGTGGTGATAAGGAAGAGAGTTAACGGCAGGTGCAGGAATGCCCATATAATGGGTGAGCTCTTTCTCCAGCTGCTGTGTCCAGGAGATACGCTCTGATGTTAAGACAATCCCTGACGTCCTTGGTAGAAAGGCCCTTAGGAATCACTCTATCATATTTAGATTGATTCCTGAGAAAGGTAAAGCTACCCCAAACCCAGTTCTGTTGCTCAGAGTTCCCGACACAATTCTCTGAGTTGTCTAGTGAGTAGAAATAGAAGCCAAAGGTTCATGGAAGTCCATAAATGCAGTGTACATCTTAAGCATTTAAGGAAACCCTGTCCATCTTGAAAGTGGATCATGAATCTAAGGGTCAGGGTCATTCTCTGTGACAGCAATCAAGGTGAGAGCAACCAGCTGGCTCTCACAGGAAGTTTTGGGAGACAGAAACTTCATTGATTTGTCTGCCTTCACAATTCCACGTAGCACCAGGCACAGAGCAAGTGAATGAATGTTTTGTTTAAAGGAAATCAGCTCTTTTAAACAATATAAGTCTTATTTTCTTCAAAGGGTTATGCGTTATCAAGGAACTTGATGTGCCCAGGGGTTAAACTTAGTTTTCTTGAGTTCCATTTCTGTAGTATAAAGATTCTAGGATACTTTCTATATGGATTAAGTGTTAGGCACACAACTCTCCCACACAAAACTAAAAATTGTTCCGCAAATATGGAAAGTATAGAAAATTTGGTAATATGTGCAAAATGATGAGAATGGTACACAGAACAGAGTTCAGTGTGTTTGTGTTATGCTCTGTGATCTGGCATAGGTTCAATTATATTTTGATTGATAATTTTTCTATAAATCCATGCTTTGGAAGGTGACCTGTCTTTCTTTCTCCTAAAGGTAATGTTATGCCTGTATCTGTGTATCTTATCCTAGATCAACAACACTGGATGATAGAAGAGCATATGAAGGACCATGTGATATTTATCTTAAGATAATACTAGAAGAACTGAGGCTATTCTAGAACTTAATTGACTTCAGATAAATCTGAGAAACAAGAATCTTGAGTCTTTAAGCTAGTCATAATTTCCCTCTTAGAAAAATTTGTCTCTAATTTGTTTATTCCCCAAATATGTAATTATTGTAAAACAAATAGAAGCAATAACTAAATTCTTCACTAATAAATCTGCCTTGTTTAAATGGCACTTGATATCTTATATTATTATTTAGAATATTATAGTGACATAGTCTTATCAAGAAAGAGTACATTTAATCACAAAGTTATAAAACAACTAGATTGAAAATCAATGAAAATTTTGTACACAATAGTTGATGTTACCTTATGAAAAATAAAATCTTACGTGGTTGTTTCATTAAAAGTCCCTGCTTTTAATACATAGCTATTATTTTATATTCATTAAAAATATGGGGAAGGAAACACTGAAAATATCACTTGAAGATAGATGTAGCTTGTCTGGCTTCTTTTATGATTTTTCAGATGCAATATGGAAGAAAAAACGTATAAACATTATTTCCTTGAGAGGTAGATCAAATAAAGAACAGTTTTTTTTTTTTTTTGTAATTCTTATAACAGCTCTTGATGAGGTAGAACAAAATAAAAGATGGTTTAGAACAAGAGAATAACATTTATATCACTTGGCTGTCTTATTTATAAGAAAGTAGATAAATTCTTTACAGATAGGTAACAGCACTACCTGGTGCTATTTGAGTGGGATATATTTCCAGGATGTAGTTCATTAAAATAAGCAAAGGTGTCTTAAAAACCTTCAACTTCGTATACAATCACACTTATCAACCTGGGTTAATTGGGAGACAGGCTGTATTTCTACCTGAGATTTACAAAAGTATTGTTTCATTCATTTATTTACTCACTCATTCATTCACCCCCCTCTTCAAATTCATAAAACATCAGTTGGGTGCAAGGCTATGATTCTAACTAATGTACTGAAAATAACTCAAGCAAGGATAACTAAGAATATATACTAATTATTTAATTCATGAATCAATTTGTTCAATTTTTAATTGCCTATTATGATGTATAATGCCAAGTTTCTCAAACCTAAGAAACTTGTAATGCCAAGTTTCTCCAAAACTATGAAGCACATTTGTAGTGCATCCTGGAACCTTCTCTCCCTGGACTCTAGTTCTGATATGTTGGTACAGCTCTGCTTAGTTCAGACATATTCTGGGAGCTGATATATTGAATATAGTTCATGATTTAAAAAGCAGGTACGTTGGGAAACACTTTCATATTAAAACTAATGTGAATATATAAACTGATCTGTTAATATTCCAATTTATTTATGCAAATGTATATTCATGGCCCTTAAAATCAATTTTCTTAAATAGAAACAGTTTTAGGCAGTTTATGTAAAATGTTGATTTTCTTGTCTATTTGCACTTACATTCACTTCCATATGGTGAAATAATAAAGGTAGCTATTTGTTACTTGGCAGGTTATCACCTGTCATGCAATATTTGGACCACTGCGTATAAAACCAGACTTTTAGATAAGGGTCAAGGAAGCAATCTACACTTGGTGCCTACAATATTAAAAGTTTTTCTGTGTCAATCTAGTTTTCAAATAACATTTTTGTTCTTTCAAATGGCTCAAAGTTTGATGCCCACTATCTGCCTTATTGTGTGTGTGTGTGTGTGTGTGTGTGTGTGTGTGTGTGTGTGTGTGTGTTGCCAGGAAGTGGAATAAAGAAAGGACTATATTCGTATCACAGCACTATGACATCATTATGTAGATTGGTGTATTCTTTCAGCCTCAGTATCCTTATCTGAAAAATATACATAATTACACGTAGGGTGTTATGAGGGTTAAATTCACTCTTTTTCAACACATTTTTATTTTGCACCTCCTTAATATCAGACGCTGTTCTAGATATTGGAAATACAATCGTGAACAAAACAAAATATTGCAGAAGTGACAATGTGCATTCTTAGCATTGTGCTAACAAATGTCATCTTCAATTAGAGCAGTTGATGTTGTGGCTGAGCTAGTGGTTGGTAGCAGTAGTATTGGCAGCAGCAGCAGTTCAGTGATACTTCCTGACTCCTGTACCAGACTGGATATTTCCTAACAGATGATATGAGCTCCTAATAAATAATGCCTGCTCAATACCTGTCATGGAGAAGAGACGCATATATTTGTGGAATTAAAGCATTGACTGCATGTTTTCATGCATATTTTTGTAATTAATAAATGGAAGAAAGGTAGAGAGAGCACTAGGATCAGGACCATGTGTTGGAATTACTCAGCCTGCTTATTTCTCACAAGGAATGAAGGGATAGGGATCTAGGAGGAAATGGGTGGCATCGATGTCTAATATTATTTAGCAAGTAAATCAATGATGGGTTCTAACTCTATCTTTACAACAAACCTAGGATGCAAGAGGAAGAAAGAAAATAAGTCACTTGCCCAAAGTCAAGCAGCTAGTATAGTGATGAGTTCAGAAAATAATCAGGCCTGTTACTCTTTGAAGGCCTTTCTCCTTCCTTATCCTCTGAAGTAAAGCTGAGGACTCCTTTTCGGGTGAACTAACAGAGATAGGAGTTGAGAGTTTCAGAGAAAGGGCTTGCAATGTCGTGTCCTGTTGCCACTGAAGAAGAAAAAGGCACACCACCTTCATACTGAGCTAATCCAAGTTCAGTTTCAATTAAACATAAAGAGACAGCTGGGCTGGGTACGGTGGCTCACGCCTGTAATCCCAGCACTTTGGGAGGCCAAGGCGGGTGGATCTCAAGGTCAGGAGTTCGAGACCAGCCTGGCCAACATAGTGAAACCCCATTTTTACTAAAAATACAAAAAATTAGCCGAGCATGGTGATGGGCATCGGTAATCCCAGCTACTTGGGAGGCCGAGGCAGGAGAATCGCTTGAAGCTGGGAGGTGGAGGTTACAGTGAGCCAAGATTGTGCCACTGCACTCTCACCTGGGCAACAGAGCAAGACTCCATCTGACCAAGAAAAATAAAAAATAAAAAAAAGAGAGACAGCTGTGGTTCCAGGCAGGCAATATCTGGGCCTGATTGCAGTTAAAGCCGCTGAAGCCACAGAGGGCTCCATAAAGAGCTGGACTCCATGGCCAGAGAGAAGGAATTTCACAAACATGACTTTGATAACACTTTAGCCAACAGTTAGTTGACTGGTGTTCTAATCCTGCTTTAGAATGTTTTTAATGTCTCATAAGGGGTTACATTGCGAGTTATCTGAAATCATTTCTGTCTCAAATTATTTGTACTCCCTCATGGTGTTTTAGTCAACTCTTCATCTCAGCCTTGACATTAAAAGGAAAAATCTTTGTGAAATCTACTAAAGGAGACCAACTAACTTCTTGAACAATAGTGATCATTTTGGTGAGAGACCTTTAATAATGGTGCTAAGAAGGCAAACCTTCAATTAGGACTGAAAAGGTTGTCCTTTTTTTTTAGCATGAAACTGGTAAAGGGGTATCTTTGCACAAAAGCAGTAATATCAGCAGGAGACATTGTAAAATTAACCAGTCAGGATACCTTTCAAAGGTAACTATAAAGGGAAACCATGTAACACCTTTCAGCAAATTTTTCTGTAACATTTTATTAAGTATCTTTTCTTAAAGTGTATTTTACTTCACATAAATTTGACATTAATTCATTTAACCATTAATTCAGTGTCTAGTATGTAAAATTATGTTCAGTTCTGTTAAGGATTTAGAGAAGAGAGAGACACAGCTTACGCTCCACAGGTACATAAAGTTTACAGGCAAAGATAATTGATATACACTCATCAACATAGTAATAAAAGGAAAGGAAAATAAAGAAACAGGATTTCTTGAAGACCTACTTATTATCTGCCAGGTACTTAATTGTTTTCATTTTAAACAGGAAAAAAACAAAAGTTTAGATGGGTTGTGACATTTGCCCAAGTTCATGCAGGTATAGATTTAGAGATAGACTCAAATTCGGCCAGTTGTGGTGGCTCACGCCTGTAATCCCAGCACTTTGGGAGGCCAAGGCAGATGGATCATTTGAGGTCAGAATTTCAAGACCAGCCTGGTCAACATGGCGAAACCCCATCTCTACAAAAATATAGAAATTAGCTGGGCATGCTGGTGTGTACCTGTAATCCCAGCTACTAGGAGGCTGAGGCAAGATAATTGCTTGAAACCAGGATTTGGAGGTTGCAATGAGCCGAGATTGCTCCATTGTGCTCAAGCCTGGGCAACAAAGCACGACTCCATCCCCACCCACCGAAAGAAAAGGAAGAAAAAAAAGACTCGGATTCAATTCTGTCTCCTCTCAAAGCCAGTACTGTGTCCATTAAGCCTCTTGACTCACATGAGACAGGGATCTGGAGCTCTCAACAGAGATGTTGAAGCTTTGAGGAAGAGGTAGAGTTTGATACATGCATTGGAGATCAAGTTGTAACAAATGGAATTTTAGTACATAGTTATTCCAGACCATCATCTTGTGGACTGTGGGGTAAATAATGGAGCATGTGGGTCTTCCTTGGTATTCCCCCGAGGTATTTGGGAAACTGAAAGCAAAAATTCCAAAGTCCAAAGCTTGCATAAGAGTCATTGCCACTTTTGAGAGAGTAATTCTGTATATACCTTTTTTCCTCCTTCAGTCAATGAATAGCTGCTACTGAGTAAACTCACATTGTTTCCTATTTTACAAATCGCAATCTCACTATTACTTGGAAACCCTACTGCCTATGTATTTCTACACAGATCTAAGCTGTTCCTATGGTCAGAATGCCCTGACTGAATCCACATATCTCACTGGTTGAATCAAGATCAGTGACTTAAATGTCAGGGTCTCTATCTAAGGATTTGTAGACACCTGTTGTGTTTGTTGTTGTTGGTTTGTTTGTTTTTAGCAAAGCTCCCCAAAAGATGAAGAGGGCTTTGTCTTAGAAAGGACATAGAAGAAAAACATTTTCTGACTAGAAGAAAAACATGAGTCATAAAAATTACTGAATGCTATTAGACTATATAAAAGCCCATTCTTAAAAGTCCCTTAGCAAAAAGCACATTTGTGGACAACAAGCTGTTCACTTTGATTGATGTGTGATATACACATAAGAGTATGTGTTAGATTAACTGGAGGCACATTAGGGAGGACATGAAAGTCAGGATGAAGAAGTTGGAGTAACTGGGAATAATTTGATTATTTTGAGCATTGCAGCTGTGTTTTAGAAAGACCATCTGTGAGTCATGTGTAGGATGGATTATAGAAAAGAGTGAAGATACAGCGACCAGCCAGGAGACTGTTGCAAACGTTCAGACAAATATAGCAAGACATCAGATTAAATCAGTGGTAAGAAAAGGAAGAGCTTGAGTTGGATTCTAATAAATACTCACTGGGGACAGTAGATTAGAAGTAGCAGATAAGGCAGAAGAAAGCAACAAACATGCCTCGTAGTACTTGAGCTTGAGAAATTCAGGTTGGTTTGGGTTTGCATATAATGAGTATTGAAAGATAAAAGTAGCTTGTATTCATGTGTTTTCATTGTTCAACCACCACTTTTGGATGCAGTAAACCATCATGGCCTGTATATACCT